AAAGAGTACTGTGACAAGAAGGGAAACTGATGAAGGTTGACACATGCTTGCCAGCTTAGAGAAACGACACGGCATCTCTGGCCTTCTATGTTCTGGGTCTGCAGTAGATGTATTGAATGCTTAATTTGCCCAGAAGGGTTTGGGATCAAGCGCGAACCTTGCTAGGCTGCTACTAGCAACCCCCCGCCCACCTCTTGGCTTGATGAATTCTGCCCTCCTAAACTGCCTGTGATATATTTTACTTTCGTAAGGTATGGATAAGATTCTTGACAATATAGAGCTGTTACTATAGTCCTAAGATTGGGATGTTCAGTTCATGTCAGAGTGCTGAGTCTTGGTGAGCTAATGTGAGATTAGAGAAGGATTCATCTTCTGCTTCTGTGCTTCATTGGAGGTTAGTTAATTCAGGTGACTAGAACAGTGGGTCCCCGAGTCTAATCAGAAAAATCTAGTTTCTTGAGGTATAGTTTGTGTCACAGAATGAGATCGAGAGTTGAGGAGAGGCATAAGAAACATGTTGGGGTATATATCTGTGTCTCCCAGGAGCCAGAAAATAAACTGTAAAGTGGTAATTTTCATCCACCCCATAAGTCTATGGTATTACATACACTGAAAGTAATCCCCCAATGTTCAGTGAAAGTTTCCCAGATAAAAGGCATAGTGTTGGACTGTGAAAACAGGATGTGTTGTTATTTGACAGACTCGTTATAATACGGGAGGGTTTTTTTAGGAATATATTTGCGGTGTGCTCATCGTTTTAAGGGTAGTTCTGTCATTTCCCCCCCTATATCTGCCATTACTGCTGTATCATCAGCAAAGCTTATTCTATTCCTTCCCATAATGCTTAGGACTACTACTTTGTTAATAATTACATCCTCTCTAGTAGATAACTTCAAGGGCCACTGAGTACTCTTGATAGACCCCTTCACTAATTTTGGTCTTTGTTCAATATTGCTTGCTTGTACTAAAGCTTTGTGGCTATTACATACATTTTTTCCCATCCACCTAGCATAGTTCAGTTTTCTTAGTATAGTCAGCATTTTAGTCTAGTATGACAGGACCATTCTAAGGAAGTGGGAGCGGTTTAATGACTAGCTAAAGGAAAACTGGAAGGAAGAAGACGATCTACATACAAAACAATAGAAGAATAAATTTTCCAGTCATTGTGAAATGCTGAATTGGCTTTCCATAGAAATGGGTTTTTAGGAGGTGCACCCCCTTACCTAGAGTCAAGTCACAAAAGACAAGCAACTTATGTTTATTACAGAGGAGCTGATTTCCTTGGTCTCACTATATGATCCCTCAGGTTCCACTCCAGTTGTTTTTCAGCAAAAGAGAACTTTGAAATGTGTAGTGTTGTATGTGAAGCCCCTCTGCCCTGCTTTTATTCCTTTTAGAAGCCTAGAGAATAATGGGATAAAATTATGCTGCATATCCTTGATCTTGTGGTTTCACCAGACCAGAATAGAGTCTTTTGTTTAACTCATTTTGTCATGGCCAAGCTGTGATCCAGTAGAGTTCGGACTTGAAAGAACCCTGAAACTTTGCAGGATTGGGGGGCAGTTAAACGTGATCCTCCCTTGGAGACTGACCAAATAGGCTGGTTTCCTTTTGGGTTTTTACTGTTGGTGGGTTTTTACTGCTGATGGTGGTGTTGAAACCCTCCTCAACCTCTGGAGTGGGCAGAGAGCTCAGGTGGTGGCAGACACGCTAGAAGGCTTTCCCCACTGACTGGCACCCAGCCACCTCCTTGGTATTCTGATGCGCTTGCAGTGATGAAGTGACATGGAGGGCTTGACAGAGCAGTGATGGTGGAAGACTCGGGATGAATCTAATTGGAATTGTGCCGGTGCTCCTCTTAAAGCCTATCCTTTGGCTGCAGTGGCTCAAGTGGTTAAGACACTGAACTGCAGGCTGTGGAAGGTCAGTAGTTCAGCAGTTCAAGACCCGGGAGCCGCATGATGGAGTGAGCTCCCATCTCTAGTTCCAGCTCCTGCCAACCTAGCAGTTCGAAAGCAAGAAATTGCAAGTAGATAAATAGGTACCCCTTCGGTGGGAAGGTAACAGCGTTCTGTGCACCTTGGTGTTTAGTCATGCCGGCCACATGACCACGGAAACGTCTTCAGACAGCGCTGGCTCTTCGGCTTTGAAACGGAGATGAGCACCGTAACCCTAGAGTCGGACTCGACTGGCTTTCGATTAAGGCAAAGCCAGAATTTCCTTTGGCAGGGAAAGCAGCATTCTCTGCCATCGTTGCACTGCATTCCAGTGGAGCCATTCTAGTCCTCTTTTTGTTACTTGTCACAGCTCTCTTAGCCCCACCTACCCTACAGGTTGTCTGTTGTGGGGAGAGGAAGGGAAGATGACTGTAAGCCACTCTGAGACCCCTTTGGGTAGGGAAGGGCAGG